CATATATTAAACAGTGACTACAAAGGAACAGTATTAAATGACTAGTGAGTGTGTGTCGGTTGACACAGCGTTCAATCTGTTATACTTTTCCTCCAAGGCCATCTCTCCTACTAATTTTATAGTAGGCGGAAGAGTACAAAATAGACACTTTAGAGGGAGGACACCACAACAGATAGATAAATAGATAGATAGATAGATAGATAGATATTAACACACTGATATATATATATATATATATATATATATATATATATATATATATATATATAGATCCGACAATATGAAGAAAAATATACGGAAAAAACAAACAAAAATCCTAATAAGCAATTATGCTGTTTTAATGCTAATATAATCAGCATATAATCGGACGTTTCGGTCTAGTAGACCATCTTCAGGACATATTCATAAAATATAATTAACATTGGACTATATTTAATTCAACATGAAAAGACGATGGACATAAGAGTAAGACTAATCAAAACAGACAACTGAAATTTTTCAAGATATATATATATATATAATTGAGTTGGATAGGCATGTTGTTTTAAATGCCTAAAAATGTTAGAGTTATCATTCAAATGTAATGTCAAGCGTCGAGAAAGAGAGTTTGTTTCGCAATGACTCTTCAATGACTCAAGCGAAAATTCCTAAATTTTCGCTTGAGGATGAAACAGGGCTTGCTACTTTAATTCAATTTAATTTTAATAATTATATTGATGGTTTCGGCTCTCGTTTTTTGAAACATATAGAACTCTCATATATTAAGAAAATGAATCCGATTTTTAAAAAAAATTTTTTATATATATATATATATATATATATATATATATATATATATATATATATAACGTCATATATTAAGAAATGGACAAGGTCCGACAATTTACTTATTAAAATAAATTGACAAAATTTTTATGTTTAATGCTTTTTTTAAATACAAATATGTAAACAGATTGTAAAAAAAAGAATAAAGAAGAAATGAAAATTAAGGATTACAAATTTAAAATTAAAGACGCTGTTTTCGCATAGCCAAGATAACATTAAAATTTAATCGTTTGAAATTTTATAACAAATGATAGATAAATAGATTGTAAAAAAATAGATAGAATAAACACACTGAGATTTGAAAAAATGAGATAAATATGAACAGACTGATTACATATTTAAAATTAAAGATATTAACACAATGAGATTTTCAAAATGAGATAGATTTGAACAAAAGATAATATAGATAAAATTTAATCGATTTGATTTAACACACTAGATTTGAACTGAGATAGATTTGAACAGAATGATAGATAGATAGATAGATAGATAGATAGATAGATAGATAGATATAAACACACTGAGATTTGAACAAAATGAGATAAATATGAACAGACTGAGATAGATAGATAGATAGATAGATAGATAGATAGATATTAACACACTGAGATAGATTTGAACAAAATGAGATAGATTTGAACAGACTTAGATTGATAGATAGATAGATAGATAGATAGATAGATAGATAGATAGATAGATATGAACACACTGAGATAGATTTGAACAAAATGAGATAGATTTGAACAAAGAAAGAGATAGATAGATAGATAGATAGATAGATAGATAGATAGAAGAAAGAAATAGATAGATAGATAGATAGATAGATAGATAGATAGATAGATAGATAGATAGATAGATAGATATGAACACACTGAGATAGATTTGAACAAAATGAGATAGATTTGAACAGACTGAGATAGATAGATAGATAGATAGATAGATAGATAGATAGATAGATAGATAGATATTAACACACTGAGATAGATTTGAACAAAATGAGATAGATTTGAACAGACTTTGATTGATAGATAGATAGATTAGATAGATATGAACGCACTGAGATAGATTTGAACAAAATGAGATTTTGAACAAAGAAAGAAAGATAGATAGATAGATAGATAGATAGATAGATAGATAGATGAATATGAACACACTGAGATAGATTTGAACAAAATGAGATAGATTTGAACAGACTGAGATAGATAGATAGATAGATAGATAGATAGATAGATAGATAGATAGATTTGATTAAATGAGATAGATTTGAACAAAGAAAGAAAGATAGATAGATAGATAGATTTGAATGAAAATGAGATAGATTTGAACAGACTTTGATTTGATGAGATAGATAGATAGATAGATAGATAGATAGATAGATAGATAGATAGATATGAACGCACTGAGATAGATTTGAACAAAATGAGATAGATTTGAACAAAGAAAGAAAGATAGATAGATAGATAGGAACACACTGAGATAGATTTGAACAAAATGAGATAGATTTGAACAAAGAAAGAAAGATAGATTTAGATAGATAGATAGATAGATAGATAGATAGATATGAACACACTGAGATAGATTTGAACAAAATGAGATAGATTTGAACAAAGATAGATAGATAGATAGAGAGATAGATAGATAGATAGATAGATAGATAGATAGATATTTTTTGCATAACAATATTGATGTTTCAATGTCGAAAGATTGAAGTGAATGAAGATGAGGAACTAGACTAATGACTTCTCTGTAAAATTAATTTGGCTTATTCTGACACACAAGTACACTAATGGGTCACCGTTTGGGAATTTAATTTAAGGCAACTACCTTCCACCTGCCTTAATTTCAATAAGAATTAAGAAATACAAGAGCAGGATTCACTAAGATTAGTATTAATATATGGAGAGACATTAAGGATATTCTCTAAAATAATGGGTCTGAGACTAAATCGGCTGGGGGGGTGTACTTGGAAGATTATCATGTAGGAGTTTCATTCAGTAGGGAGATATGTGACTCGAAAATCAGCATTTTGTGTTTAGGTCTCGAACGTCAGTAGGATATATTAAGCATAGTAATCTCAGCCGGAAGGCAGGTGTTTCTGTTGAGAGATACTGCTATGAAATAGGTTAAATTATGTGCGTGTGTGACATAATGAATGATGACTCGATGTCGTGAGATCACGTGAGGCGACGGGAAAGGGCGAAAGTGAACGAAGATTCCCGATGGAGGAGGTCGGCGCCAGCCGGTCGCCGTGGCAGCCGGCAGTCGTAACCAGAAGATGGAAAACACCGTCAGAGGGGAATAGCCTTGGTTGATATTAAAGGGGTATCGCACTGTGAAGAAACATCTGGTCGTGAGAAAAAGAAAAAAAATGAATATGGCAGACGGTTATCGCTATTCCAGCTGCTGCTACTGCTATTTGCTACTGGTGTCCAGATTACTATCAATTAGATCTCTTTGTATAGCGAATGGACACAAATGTTTCGTGGGCTGGGGGCTAACAGTGGCTGGCAAGCAGCTCAAAGAAACTCAGCAACAAGCGTACAAATGGTCATGCCATGTTCTATGGACCAGTTTTATCGGCGCATGCGCTGTTAAAGAAAGAAAGAAAGAAAGAAAGAAAGAAAGAAAGAAAGAAAGAAAAAAAAGACAGAATAAAAGAAAAATAGTATTTTTTTTCATTTACTGTCGCTGACCACAATTGAAATAAAGAATGAAAAAATGAAAAGAAAAGTAAAGAAAAGAAAGAGAATGATTTCTGAATTAAAATTGAAGTCAAGGTAAGAATAGAAATAGCTATAACAAATTTCCGAATGAAATGAAGAAAAGGTGATGTAAAAAACATGATAGATAGAAAATGAGATTTAGAATTAAACTAGGAAAGAAAATAAATGAAAGAGACAGGGAATGAAAGAAAGAGAAAGCGTTAGTAATTTTGCAATGAAAAGAAAAAAGGAAAAGAGTAACACATTTCGGAAGAAGAAAGATAAAGAAATCCCAAAATAAAATAAATAATAAAGCATTTCGCAATAAAGAAAGAAATAATGAAAAAGAAAGAAAGAAAGAGGAAGAGGCGGGACAAAAAAAGAAACAAGATTAAGAAATCGCAAAGCGAAATGAATAATAATGAAAGAAAATAAGAAAGAAACGAAGAAGAAAGCTTAAGAAATTCTGAAACAAAATAAGTAATCCATTTCGAAATTAAGAAAGAAAGAAAGAAAGAAATTAAGAAAGAAAGAAAGGAAGGAAGGAAGAAAGGAAGAAATAAATAAATAAAGAAAGAAAGAAAGAAGATAGATTAAGAAATCCCAAAACGAAATAAATAACCCATTTCGAAATTAAGAAAGAAAGAAAGAAATTAAGAAAGAAAGAAAGAAAGAAAGAAAAGAAGGAAGAAGAAAGATTAAGAAATGAAATGAATAATAAATAATTTCGAAATTAAGAAAGGAAGAATGAAAGAAAGAAAAGACAAACAAAGAAATAAAGAAAAAAAGAAGAAAGATTAAAAAAAAACCCTAACCGAAATGAAAAATGACTCATTTTGTAATAAAGAAAGAAAGAATGAAAATTTGAAAGAAATAAAGAAAGAAAAGGAGAAAAAAAGAAAGAGAAAAGGAGAGAAAAAGAAAGAAAGAAAGACTAAGAAATCCCAGAACGAAATGAATAATAACTAATTTCGAAATAAAGAAAAAACAAAGAAAGAAGAAAAAAGAAAGAAAGAAAGAGAGAATGAAAAAGAATGATAAAATGATCATGTAAGGAAATTATTCAGGGATTATCCGTTTCAGGGTTTAAACGATTATCAGGGCGTATATATACTCTGTTTATAAGCCACTGGAGGTTTGTAAAAAATGGAAGCAAATAGAAATTAGTATTAATCAGGTTTAATTAAGTGGAAAAACTTTTATAGTTCGATGATTCTATTTATTTATTTATTTCAATTATCTTGTATTTTATTATATGCCATGCTTGAATACAATCTTCAGACACATGGCCTGAAGATTGCGTTCACGCATGAAAGAGACTATCACCGCTCGGTGTTGACCTCAATGTCCACGTTTACATTAACTTACGCTGTATCTCTGATAGTGATTACTTTTATTCATGAATATATCATACTTTAAACTTATTTGTTTTATCATCATATATATATATATATATATATATATATATATATATTTTAAGCATTGTGCCCCAAGCAAGGCGTGAAGCCACTAGGATGCAGGGGGTTGCGGAAGATTTGGAGCGAGAGCAGATAAGAGTGATAGGAGAAAGGATGAGGAGAAGGATAGTGGGTAGATCAAGGTAATTGGAGATGTCGATTGACATTACATTTAAATAGTTGGAGATTATAGCTTTCAGGGAAACAGTGATTGGGGAGGGTGTTCCACTGGCGAGAGGTGCGAGGAAAGAAGCTATTGGAGTAGAAGAGACGGCTACATTTGAAGGTTTCTACGGTGTAAGGGTGATAGCGGGATGCCAGCCTCGTAGGGCGCTTGAATTCATGGAGTCTGGGAACCAGAGAGAGCAGCTCATCAAAGCAGTTACCATGGAAGTATTTGTAGAAAAGACAGAGAGAGGCAACGGCGCGTCTGTGAGAGAGTGACTGCAAACAAGACGCTAGATCAGGGCCAATTAGATTACATATCCTTCTCTGGATCTTGTCAAGAACTCTTAGGTAAGCAGAAGGTGCTCCAGCCCATATATGGCAGCAATACTCCATGCATATATATATATATATATATATATATATATATATATATATATATATGTCGGAATTTCAGACACTCAGGATTGAATTCATTCGATTAGCAATTTGTCACATAGATAGTTACAAAGATAGATAAGGAATGTTGTACGAAATAGAAATTAAATTGAATGTCAATGAAACTTGTTAAGAAAAGCGTCGAATTTGTGTGCTGTCCCGAGTACATTTGGGTCCCTGGGTAAAACGATTAACTACATCCAGCAGCAAAGCCTCGACTCGGGACGTTTTCTGGAGAGTGGAACTACCTTTTAACGGCTGTTGTCCCCAGGTCCACCCTGACCCGGAGTGGTAACACCTGTTATGGTCCCAGCTATAGGCAAACAGTAAACCCCCAAACAATAATCAACAACACATTTTTATAATAAAATGAACTAGGATACATTTTATAGCAAACAATGCAACGTTAAATAAAATATAAAATTACATTTTTATAGACAATTACCAGCAATACATTTTATTATCTACAAAATATACATCTAAAATATACCTTTACTCTAATAGAAAAAAAATATTTCAAGATGTCTGTAGCTGAAAGCACAATATTTTGTTCAAAATAAGCAGATTTCGGCATTAAATAACCCATAGAGGTGTTGATGTGCCGCTAAACAAAATCAACCAACCAACAATACATAATCATAGTAAAATGACCAACAATAAATTTTATTTGTAGTTTAAGGCATATAATTGGGTTCAAATTATATTGAGAGGAATCCATAAAATTGTGTTCAAAATATTTAGATTTCGGCATTAAATAACCCCCAGAGGTGTTGATGTACCACGAAACAAAATCCAACAACCAAAATGCCTATTTATAGTAAATTGACTAACAATACATTTTATCTGTAGTTGAAGGTCTATAATTGCATTCAAATTATATTGACATTAATCCATAAAATTGTGTGTGGCACCATTTACGAGGCAGAGAAAGGAAGAGAAAGAAAAGAAGGCAGAAAGAAATGCGAGACGATTCATAGGTGATAAGCAGACACACACACGGCTAAGAGACAATGAAAATATTGATAAGTAACAAATGAAAAAGGTGTCATTACAATGACAGGGAATTTCTGAGTAAAAAAGAAAAAAAAAGAAAAGAACCAGATGTGTTTTGATAACGGCTGTGTTATCTAGACCACTGACCAGGGAAAAATTCAAGTGAAAATGCTATTTCGATAAGTGACGAGAAACAGGCCACTAAAAAGGACTTTGGACAGATATGAAAAATTAAATCCCACACAAGCAGTGCGCTGACCGAATTCTTTTCGACGAAACAACTTTGGCCGGCGATAATAAAATTATGGGGAACCAGAAGTGTTTTTCTTTCTTCCTTGGAGGCGACAGACTGACTGAAAACTTTGGGGATATTTCTTTTTTGAAGCCATGTTAAGAATACCACCCATCTTGATGAATTAGCGATAAGATACCTGACAAACACCACGTGTAAAACAAGAGTTGTCATATTGTCCGTGGCTAGAGAAATGATAACGGCGATTTAAGCGAAAGAGAAGAGATATTTTTTTTTAGTTAAGCAAGATATTTTTTTCCCGAAACAAAGCCACAGATTGTTCACGCCCGACTAAGACATCATTGGTCAAGTGGTGATCCCGTGACGCACGAAGGAGGAGGAAAGATACCCGACCAAGACCTCATTGGCCGAGACTGATCACGTGACGCACGAAGAAGGCTGTCGACGCCCCACCAGAGTATAAGTATGAGAAGCTGCTACGAAGAAGTGGGGAGGGCAGTTCACGCCCCTCAGAGGTATGGTGAGAAAGTGGGAGTGAGGAAGGGTTCCCAAAAATGGAAAAGAGTGGAAAATCCCTAACCAGAAATAAAAGATGTGGATATGTATTTAGAATTATCGAGGAACCCCCCGACGCCAACAGAACCACCCCGGTTTTGGTCGGTGTCAA